CTCAAAGACCTACAAATAGAACTACTGTGTAATCCAGCAATCCCATCCCTGGGTATTTATCCAAAGGATAGGAGAACACTCAGAAAAGTGCTTGCATATCTGTTTATTGCAGCATTATTCACAGTTGGTAAAACATGGAATCAACTCAAATGTCCATGAACAGGTGAATGGATTACATATACTCTATGAAATACTACTCAGCCACAAAAATAAGATCCTGGCATTTGATAGAAAATGGATGAATATGGAAGATCCACTCTTAAGAAAAGCAAGACAGACTATGAAAGAGAGGTACTACATGTCCACAGTCAATATATACTCAATAAGATCCTGGCATTTGATAGAAAATGGATGAATATGGAAGATCCACTCTTAAGAAAAGCAAGACAGACTATGAAAGAGAGGTACTCTCAATACTCAATAACCACACTTTATGGCAGAAACTAAACAACTGGAAGGTATAAAATCATGCAGAACAATTGTGAACACTAGAGATAGTGTGGTAGGAGGGTGGGAAATGAGAGAAAGTGAGCAGGTGGGAATCAAGGGGAAAAATAAAGAGGCAAAAACATTTAAGGGACACAAATGAAAAACTATCTGTCGATAATGTGTATGATAATATCTTTAACTGGACTATTATATAGTGTACTCATGCTGGGAAAATTCATTTTGTATGTTGTAATGATATACAGTGAGTGAATGTATAAAAAAATAATAAAACATTAAAAAAATAAAGATCACAAACAAAGAGACCAGAAAAAGAGTTAATGTAGGTTCTCACTCCTGCATGGAAACTGAAAAAAGATGTCCTCAGAAGTATGAAGTAGAATGTAACTACAGGAGCCAGCAGGTCGTGTGGTAGTTAAGGTGCCGGACTCACATATGGTAGACTGCAGTTCAAGTCCCAGACCTGGCAGCTCGCTTTCTCACTTTCCCTCTCTCATTCTCTCTCTGGTATGCACACATGTCCTATAACAAATTTTTTAAAACAATAAATTAAATTAAATAATTATTTTTTAAAAAGAATGTGATTATAGAAAAGATGGATCGGGGCTAGAGAGAAGTTGGTTAATGAACACAAAATTATAGAGAAGTGGAATCAGTTCTAGTGTTTCTCGAGCACAGCACAGTGACTATCTTTAACAATTTTCTGTGTATTTCAAAATAGCTGAAACAGGATTCTGAATGTTCCCAACACAAAGTGGTGGCAAATGGTTGAGATGATAAATATGCTAATTACTCTAATTTGATCATTATACATTGTATTCATGTACTTAAAAACACACTGTATCCCATAAAAATGTACATTATGTGTCGATTAAAAGTAATAATAAAAAAAGAAGAACTGGGACCAGTAGATGGCAATGGTTACATTGCTGGACTCCCACATGGCTGACAACGGTTCAATGGACCCAGAGGCTTCAAACTCATACCAGGCATGTGTGCGTGTGTGCCCAAAATTCCGAGAGGAGAGTGGAGGAGATGGGATTGCAGCATGGCCATTCCCCCCGGTGTGTGTGTGTGCGCGTGTGTGTGTGTGTGATTTCTCTCTTCTGTGTGTGTGGGGGTGATTTCTCTCCTCTGTCTCTCCATCTTTCTCTATCTCTCCAGCGAGCACACGTGCCCTATAACAAAGATCTCTCTTAAAAAGAAAAAAGAAGAGCTAACAAAGGAGGTTAAGGTTGTTTTTTTTTATGAACCCTATGTCACATTTAATAAATGTAAGGTCTGGGGGAAGGGAAGAGAAACATGGTGGAAACTTTCCTGCCGGCAGGAACTTTCCGGTTTTCCACATCTGGCCTGCCATCACCAACAGACTTTCCCGCCCTTCAGCATCTGGCGCACCGCCAAAGCTGAACAGAAACAGCGACCTTCATTGGCCAGACAAAGACCCGTGGAGACCACCTATTGGACAATGGCCCTTTAAGAATGAGTAGCACCCACCCTGGGTGTGATTCCCTCAGCCTCTGACCAGATGGGGGTGGTCCTGAGAGCTTTTTGAAGAATAAATTTTGCTGGTTTTATTAAGCCCCAATGCCTGACTCTGGTATTTTCATCTTTGCTGCCTCTGACTCCGTTGCCAATCCCAAATCAAACCTAATAATAGCTTGGGGAGAATGAGTGCCCTGGTGCACCAGAGTCAGCCCAGCACCCACTGTGGTCATACCCAACAAATACCTACTATGCGTTCATTCTATACAGCCATAGAGTGCTGGGTGCCTGAGTTGGGAAACATCACTCAAGTATGAGGTCCTCTCCTTCCAGGAATTTACAATGTAGGATGGGTCCACAAATAACCACGATGAGGGTCAGGATTATAAGCAACATGGCATACAGATGGAAGGAAAATCCAGTAAGACTTCATGGAAGCAGCAGCATTTGAACTGGATCTGAATCAGGGCAGGGCCTAAGAAAATGATGAAAGAGTGAGTACACAAACAGAAAAACAGCATGGGCCAGTGGACAGCGGGCAGACCAGCATGTCAGAAGGAAGAAAGCCAGTTTCTAGTTACCTGCAGTACCTGAAAGAGAAAAGAAGAGAGCTGGGCAGATATAAAACTGAGAAGGGGTAGCCCTGGATTTGGAACACACTAGCTGGGTATTTCACAGGTATGACAACCTGAGCAAGTCGTTTCACTTCCCTGAGCTTCAGTGTCGTGACCTGTAAAATGGGATGGTAACAGCACTTATCCCTTCCAAGGGAGGTCTATGGATTACAGGTAGAACTATATGGAAAGCAGTTGGCAGGCGCACTGTCAGGGGCCAGCTAAGGTATGCTGAGGCCAGCCTAGAGGAACGGGAAGGACAGACTTGACTACATGAGTGATGCTCACCACAGCAGCAACAGCAGCTGTTGTTTCTTTATGCCCAGTGCATGCCAGACTCTTGCATTCGGCATTTTCCACACACCCCACAGTGTTCAGGATACTCCTCCAGGTGGATGGGGGGCTCTGCCTCCCTTAATGCATGACCACATTCGGATGCAGACTGACTATCTCTGAATAAGGGAGGTGGCATGGCTAGAGCTTAGTCCTCCCATGGATTCTTTTCTTTTCTTTTTTTTGGAGAGGTTTTTGCTATAGGGTGTGTGTGCTCGCCAGAAAGACAGAGAGAGACAGAAAGATAGAAAGCGAGAAATCACCCCCCCCCGGGGGGGGTGTGGCCGCGCCCCAATCCCTTCTCCTCCATTCTCCTCTTGGGATCTTGGGCACGCATGCACACGCGCCCAGCGTGAGTTTAAGCCACTGGGTCCGGGACTCGAACTATGGTCGACTACATGGGAGTCCAGTGACATAGCCATTACGCTAACTGCTGGTCCCCTCCCATGGATTCTTGTAGGGCATGAGCATTCAGGCAGGACTATGACAGCTAAGACAGCTGAAGCCAGCAGGCGGCCTGGTGCTTAAGGCACTCTCTCACATCGCTGACTACAACTGGGTTGGGACATCAAAGCTTGAGAAGCTCGCTGGGCACATGTGTGTGTGTCTCCCAGAGAGAAGAATGGAGAAAGAACTGCAGCATGGCCATGGGGAAGGGGTGATTTCTCACTTTCCTTCTCTCTCTGTTTCTCTCATTCTGTCTCTGATAAGTACATACCCTATGTCAAAAACCGTAAGAAAAAGAAATATAAAAAGAAAGGAGTTGATGTGAGGAACCCAACAGGCGTTTCATCCACTCCTAAATGAGAGTCAGGGAGATGTAAGAGGAGTCCTTGTCAAGAACAAAAGATGGAAGTATAAATGAGGAAATGGGAAAGTCAGATAACCAGGGGAGGGAAAATGCTTAAGTTTCAGATCTCCCTTCTACCAACCAGCACTATCCAACTGGCAGTCAGAAAACTGCCTGGGGCTGGAGAGAGAAGCCAAGCTCCACATGAAGAACGCAATCACAGCTGAAGGCTGGACAGTCAATGGGATCACTGAGAGTGAAAAGACCCCCAAACAGCCTTGGAAAAAGATGCAGACAACAAAACACAAACGTGTAACAGAGAGGAAAAGAGCCAGGAGAATGGATGGAAATGGCTAGGAGGGTCAAATGCTGTGGAGACATCAACCAGATATGGATGGCGGCAGAGACCAGGGGACCATGCTGACCTCCCCGGAGGCAAGAATGCACAGTCAGCCCAGTAATTAAGCAGGCACTTCACCTCCATATAATTAACTGCTTCCCTTTAGTCTTTGCCCAGTCCAAGCAAAATGGGTTTAACTTACAGCCTTTTAGGAGAGGCTATAGCCGAAAGAGAAGGAAGAATTTTGGTGCCACAGGGAACTTAGAAGAAAATGCACTGAAGGTTGGAGTTTTTTTAAAAAAAACATTTATTATTTATCATGATTTTCAAGCCACCTGATTCCGGAATGGAACTGCGGTCAGCCATGTGGGATCCAGCGCCTTAACCAACACATCACCTGCTGCTGGGCCCCTGAAGGCTGGAGATTTTGATTGACCCTTCCACTGCGAAGACACAATGAAAACCACTAGAAATCCACCTCTCATAGAATCATAACCTGTGGTTGCTGCAGATCAACGCAATTAAGGAACAAATAATGCTCTCCTCAGCAATTCCAAGACTGAGGTGCTGATAGAATTGTGCTGCAGGACCACAGCGAAGCGACTGTCCCAGAGTAACCACATGCTTCGCCCACCCTGCTGCCTTCCTCAGTGTGGGCTAGGGTGAGGTGGAGCCAGTCCTCCTCTCAGCAAGGGAGGGGGACTCTGACTACAACCTCACCACAGGGCAAAGAACATGGATTTGATCATGTGAGGTCCCTTTACTAAAAAAGAAAAATGTATTGTACATGGAAAGGATTCAAACTGCCGAAGAGAACGAGGTACTCTAATCAGTTTCCTGAAACAGGAAGGCATAAAGCTTCTAAAATAAAATGTTTGTGACAACTAACATTAACTGGAATCATCAATCTTGGACCACATGCAAATTGAAGACTATCCAAACCAAGGGACTTCCAGATGAACACACCTGCCTTGAAAGGAGGCATCCATACCTGTTTCCCTGACTCCAGCGAGTCAAAACTATCACAGCTCTCCTCTGATGAGAGGGTTTCCATGGGAACATCATCTTGGAAACCCAGGAATTCTTCATCATCACTGGGGGCGTTAAAGATGTCAGCCACTTCTTGAGGGATCTGTTTGGATTCAAACAGAGAAGGATAAAACCAGGGGCTGTTGTAATCAGGAAAATTATCTAGAGGGGAGTACGAATTATCATCTCATAACCTTCTCAGTCTGCCATGGTCACCCAGAAGACCCCAGTAGCTCTGAGCAAAATGCTTCAGCGGAGACCTTAGGATAAAAAAGGTGGGGAAGAAATTTTTGCATGCAGTTGCCAGAAAGGCTGAGAGACAGAAAGTAAGAAATTACCCCCTAGTGGGAATGACCACACCACAATCCCTTCTCCATTCTCTCCAAATTTTGGGCACGCATGCACACGTACCCAGCGTGAGTTTTAAGCTGCTGGGTCTGGGACTCAAACTGTTAACAACTATGTGGAAATTCAGTGACAGCAACATAATCATTATGCTATCTGTTGGTCCCCAGACTTTTACAATTTTAGAGACATACCCTACTTTACAGAGAATGTTGAGGCCATGCCTATACAGCAGTCATTTATTATGTCTTGATTTAAAAAAAAGCAGCAGCATCAGTTTCTCATAAACCATTGACCATCTTTTTCTCCCATTGAGGATTTGTCCTTAAATATCTATGTGAAAATAACTTCATATGGGCCAGCAGGTGGCATAGCAGTTAAGGTGCTGAACTCCCATGTGGCTGACAGAGAGTTGAGTCCCATCCTGGTGGCTTGAAACTCATGCCAGGAGCGTGTGAATAGTGCCCTAAATCCTGAGAGGAGAATGGAGAAGGGACTGCAATGTGGTCGTCTCCCCTGGGGTGACTTCCCATTTTCTGTCTCTCCAGTGAGCATACAGGCCCTATAGCAAAAATCTCTCTCTCAAAAAAAAATCCAAATAAAATTTTTAAGCTTTTTTCTTACATAATCTCATCTATGGTTGTTTTTGTCATATGCTGATTCAGAAATATGAAACTTCATGAAATAAGTAGCTTTTCTTTCTCTTTGTACTCTAAATCAATTTAGGTGGTTGTAGAATTAATTCCAAGAGAATATAAATGCTATTATGGGCAATTATTCCCAAAGAGAATGCTGTCAGCACACTTACTCTAACAAAGATGTATCTGCCGGGAGTTCACTTTTCTATGCTGGCTACCTATTTTCTCCCAACTCTCTATTCTAAAAAAGTTCTAAGCCAGAGAGAGGTAAAAGAATAGCAGAAATATCTGTAGGTTCTTCACCCAGAGCTACCATTTGTCACCACATTTGCTTTCTTTTTCTCTCTTTTAACAGATATTAGTTTGACCATAAGTATTTACTGATATTTGACTGTTTTTGATCTACAGAAATAATCACTTAATGTGTCAATCAAATCTATGCATACCCACCCTGTTTTTTGTGGATATCATACTAATTTGTCCTAATAATAAATGATGACATTCTCTTACAGAACCACTAAATATTAACTGTACCTAAAATAATTCATATTAATTCAGTAGCAGTTAAAACCCATGTTCTAATCTCTGCAGCTGTCCCCAAAATGTTTTCTTGTGATTTTGGAAGGGCAAAGGAGATACACTCATGGAAGGTTCAAACATTGTGAATGATTCCTTTTTATGAGTTTTTTGCTATTTTCACAAGCACTTCTTTGTAGTTAGTTCCAGAACATCATGCATTCAGAGCTGATGTAATCATTTCCTCATGATTAGATTCAGGTTATATATTTCTGGCAACAATTCTACACAGGTAACATGTACTCTCAATGCATCACATAAGAAGGCACAAAATGCCAGGTTATTAATAAGTAGTTCAAAATATTAAAACTAGAATGGGGAGACCAGCAGTTGGTGTAATGGCTATGTCGTTGGACTCCCATGTAGTCAACTGCGGTTCGTGCCCCGGCCCCGGGGGCTTAACACTCACACCAGGTGCATGTGCGTACATGCCCAAGATTCCGAGAGGAGAATGGAGGAGAAGGGATTGCCGCGTGGCCATTCCCCCCTGGGGGGGGGGTGATTTCTCGCTTACTGTCTCTCTGTCTCTCTTTCTGGCGAGCACACGCACCCTATAGCAAAAACCTCTCAAAAAAAAAAAAAAAAAAAAAAACAGAAACAAAAACAAAAACAACAACTATAATGGGACCGGCAGGTGGTATGGTAGTTAAAGGCACTGGATTCTCACTTAGTTGACCATGGTTTGAGTCCAGGACCTGATGGCTTGCTTTCTCACTTTCTCTCTCTGTGTACTGCGTTCCAGTCAAATTAAAAGTAACAATAATGATAAATAAAATAAAAGGAAATACTTCTTTTAAAAAAACCTATGCATTTCTTGTTTTTTTATTCTTTTTTAATTTTTAAAGTCTTTTTTACTCGCACATTAAATCCCTATACATCACTTAGATTGTGAAGAGCCTTTACCCAGCATGATCTACACCTCAGTCTAGCCCAGTTGAGACAATTATACACATCCTCATCAACAGATAATAAACCTTATCTGTGTCCCACAAGTGTCTTACCTCTCCATTTCCCCCCCAAATTTCCTATCAATGCATTTCAAAGTAAATGGACTAGCATAACTAGCACACATGTTGACTTTTTAGCAACTGTTGGCTAATCTTGCTTCCTCTTGTATTCTTACCCATACTCCCCTCTTTCAAATTATTTTAAAGCATCTGCAGACACAACGTCATTTCACCATGTATTATCACCATACATGCAGTCTGTATTTACAATTCTAGTACCTTTTCAAGAATTACTTATTATTATCTTCTTTAATTTGCTATAGGGCACATGCATGAGAGAGAGAGAGAGACAGAGGGAGGGAGGGAGGGAGGGAAGGAGGAAAGAAGCTGCCAGGTCCAGGACTTGAACAGTGGTCAACCATGTGGGAGTCTGGCACCTTAACCACCATGACCACGATGCCACCTGCTAGTCCTTTCTGATTTTTATTTTTTGAGAGATTTTTGCTATAGGGCATGTGCACTCACTGGACAGACAGAAAAACAGAAAGCAAAAAGTCACTCCCCAGGGGAGATGGCCATGCCACAATCCCTTCTCCTCCATTCACCTCTTGGGATTTTGGGCATTCACACACATGTACCCAGCATAAGTTTCAAGCCACCAGATCCAGGACAACCACGGTTCAACCATGGCTGAACACGTGGGAATCGAGTGACACAACCATTATGCCACCTGCTGGCCCCATGAATTAAGTATTCAAAATATTATACTCCGTACATTTCTGATATTCAAATTATTCCAAATTTGGCCACTTGGAGCTTCTTCAAGCCAGCTCTGTGTTCTTCTGACATGACCTTAGTAGTGTGGGCGCCTCTTTGCTTTCTGGCACAAGCATGTCAAGCTAACCCTAAGCTTTCCCTGTCCCAGACCTCAAATTAGCTATTTCTCCAAGCTCTGGTAATTTTCAATGGGAAATGGCATTTGGAAACCAAGATCTGAGATTTCAGTGTGCTTCTTGTTAATGAAGTATTATGGCTTCTAAGCTTTTTGACTGACTACAGCAAGGATCACTTATTATTATTATTATTATTATTACTGTTATTATTATTATTATTTGCCATAGGATATATGCACTCACCAGAGTGAGACAGAGAAAGGAAGAAATCACCCCCCAGGGAGGTCGGCCACATCGCAGTCCCTTCTCTTCCATTTTCCTCCAGGGAGTTTTGGCATGCATGCACATGTGCCCAGCGTAATTTTCAAACCATCAGGTCCAGGACACAAGCATACTTGAAATATCTTAAACTGCAAGTTCGTAGTGACACCCTGACTTCAAATTCATCGTGGCAGGATTCTACCTCGCATTCTTCAATTCTACATTCTTATCACCCTTCCTCTATAACAAAACCCTTAATTCTCAATACTTCTAATACATTTATCCATGTGCTATATCGACAGGGAACACAAAATAGTGTCAAGCTTATACCAATACAACACCAACAACAAAAATAAAGTTTGAGATTCTATGTAGACCCGTAGACCACACTCCCACTACATACCAGATCTTTTCCTTGGGATAGTCAGACAATAATCATATGTGGGGATATAAAAACTGGCCATTATCATCATGCAGTATACAAAAGAGATGTTCTTGATGGCAGAGGTTTATCATTTTGCTGCTTCAACAGGACACTCTTATGTAAAACTTCTTAAACTGAGTGTATGAAGGTAAATAATGCAATGACTACTGGTAGTTTTGACTACTGGTAGTTTGTTGCCACCTTGATTCATGATGAAGACCACAGTTTTTTCCACCTTTGCTTCTGAACAATCAGAACAAATATCAACACAGCAAAAAAAGACGAATAATGTCCTGGCGTTACAATGACAAAAACTTACTTACCTTTCGATTTTTTTTTTTTTTTTTTTTTTTTTGCAAAGGTTTTTATTTTTTTTTTTTGAGAGAGGTTTTTACTATAGGAGCTTGTGCTTGCCAGAAAGACAGAGAGAGACAGAAAGCGAGAAATCACCCTCCAGGGGCGATGGCCACACCGCAATTCCTTCTCCTCCATTCTTCTCTCAGGATCTTAGACATGCATGCACACATGCTGGCGTGAGTTTAAGACACCCAGTCCAGGTCTCCAACTGCAGTCAACACATCGGAGTCCAGTGATGTAGCCACTACACCATCTGCTGGTCCCTGGATATTTTTTTTAAGAATTATTTTATTTAACTTTATTTATTTATTTATTTTTAATTTGTCCAGAAGCAGAGCGAGAGAAAGAGAGAGAAAGCAAACCACAAGGTCTTGGAATCAAACCTCCTTTGGCCATTGTGGGAGTCCAGCACCCTGAACCACCGCCACCTGCCAGTCCCCGCCTTTGGATATTTTTGAGGGTCCCACAGACTACCATGACCATCATACTAGTATAATCAGAGTTGTGAATTCAAAACTACTTGAACTCTTTGAACTGTGTGTATGTATGTGTAATTAACTTTACATTGTTGGGTTCACTTAAGAAGTTACTAATCCCTGAGCCACCTTTTTTTTTTTAAATTAAATAATTATTTATTTATTTAAGCTGCCAGGTCAGGGACT